GTTCCCAAAGAATACGGAAACAGGTAAGAAAACATTATTTTTAGTCGAAATCCATCGTGAAACATAAGAGTCGAGCACTGCAGTCTTCGTTGATACATGTAGTACTAGTAGGCCTACCAGGCAGTGCAGTGCGGCGGCTTTCTTGTGCACAGGGCGTACGTGCGGTGTACTTGTGTGTTGCAGATGAGCATTTGAACGGCATTTACAGCAAGTTATCGACAATAATAAGCGAAATAGAGTAGAGAAACATTAGATTAATACTTTGATAGTAAATACATTTAGATTTTAGTGTTTATTTACCATTATTTGTTATTATGTACCAATGCCATGTTACGATTATGAATCATTGTTAGATTTTTGTACACTTGACTGAGAGATTTGATACAGCTATTGTCATAAAAAAGTAATGTACCCAATTAGTAATTTATACAGGATTTGAACTCGGTTGAGCTCCTACATTCTGCAGGAATGTAGTTATAATCAAATGTGTTCTCATAGGTTAATCCTATGTGGTATCTTTTGTAATTTCAGATGTCAACAGTGGGTGCAGAGTACTCGTCGACAAGATCTGCTAAACCGACCCGTGGTGTACTTGTCAGACAACTGCCGTCTTTGTTCTGAACACTTTGAACTTGACCAATTCTCCAACAAGCAGACCAAGAACAGGCTAACATGGAATGCAGTACCAACCCTCTTTGATATGCCAAATCCCTTGAAACATCTGTCGACCACCGCATGCAGGTCACTCAAAAGGAAGCTTGAGAACATCCCATCTTCACACAACCCTTCAAAAAAGCAAAGAGGTAGCGACTACACACAGACTGAACATTCTTACTGCTTAGCTGCAGATCAAATTCATGAGAATGCACCCAGCAGTGTTTCTCCACCTCCTGATACAGATGATCACAGCAGAGCTCTGAAGAAGGAAAGACAGCGTACGTTCCGGCTCAAAAAAAGAGTAGAACAGTTGAAACAATCAATCAAAAAGGAAGCTAAAGAAAGTGAAACAATTAGTGACTTGATAAGAGGAGCTGGTAAATTTTTACAGGAACCAGCACTATCTTTCTTTGCGTCACAATTGCGGAATGCGTCAGGACGTAGAAGAGCAAGAGGAAGACGATGGAGTTATTCAGACAAGGAAGTTGCCTTGTCCCTCTACCACCAGAGTCCCCATGCGTATCACCTCTGCCAGCGCATTTTCACACTTCCGTCAGTCACATCACTGCATAGGTGGTAGAGTAATATCGAAGTGAGGCCTGGGTTTCCCTCTAAGGTCTTTGAACTTTTGAAAGACGGGGTAGCAGGAATGGCAGAGAGGGATAAGTTCTGTGTAGTGTCCTTTGATGAAATGAGTCTACGTACAGGCCTCTCATACAATATTACAGAAGATTCAGTAGAAGGTTTTGAGGACTTTGGATCCCTAGGGAAGATTTGAAGAATTTCGTCGTGTAAACGAGGCAATAGTGAATCATTGACCTAAAATGTACACAAAATGTATAAGGTGGTATGGCATGTATTGTAATATGTAAAGGTTCTTATTTCTTACTGTTGGGGGAAGTGGAATGTACACACACTCAAATGAATTATAGAGGCCTATATGCGAATAGTACCTCATTCCAGCGATAGACCGGCAACAACTCTTCTACTTATAGTGTTGACATCCGGCGTATTTGAGAGTGCGCGAGATACGCGTCCATAGACGCTACAATAATCGCTAACTCGAGTTGACGCATACTTGAGTTAAATTTCGTCCGTGTAGACGAGGCATATAAAGTGATTCATTGACCTAGAAATTTACACAAAAATGTATAAGGTGGTATGGCAATGTATTGTAATATGTAAAGTCCTTATTCTTACTGCTTGGCGGGAATGGAATGTAAAACTGAAATGAATTGATAGAGCGCTATAGGAGAATCAGTACCTACATAAGCTCGCACGATAGGGGCCCCCCGGCCAACACTTGTAACTACTAAGCCTAGGGACACACTTGCGATTTTTCTACGCTGGCCGCTTAGCGATCGATAAATACGGTGGCCGGGTCCGCGCGGTGTGTCCGTCTCACGGCAAGCGTATTTCGCGTCACGATCCCATAACTCCTGGCGCTTCGCATCGTATTCAACATGTTGAATATCTTCCGCCCCTTTTCGACGGCGCGGCACCGTATTTATCGATCGGCGGATCGCAAGCGGCCAGCGTAGAAAATCGCACAGTGTGTCCTAGGCTTTAGTGGTGGCATCCCGGTATTCTAAAGTCGCGTGTGCGTGTAGACGGCTACATAATCGCTAACTCGAGTTAACGGCTTAACTCCGAGTTAGCTTACACTCGAGTTAAATTTTCGTCGTGTAGATGAGGCTAAAGATCAATATAGCGCCGTAGGTGCCTACGGCGCTATAATGATCTTTGGTCAAGAACCTTGATGTTGTTATAGACATGGTAAAAGAATGGTTTGAATTGTAAATGAATTGTAATTGTTATTTTATTTTATTTTTTTAAATTTTATTTTATAAAAAATACTTACTTTGTGTATACATATATGTACCTCGGGTACATATATGTAGTACCTGATACGACAACGACCCTTTCAGCGCCAATATTGGACCAATATAGGCAGATATTGGTCTAATATAAGGCAGATATTGGTCCAAATATCGCCCAATATTGGGCAAAACCAATATTGGACCAATATCACCAGGCCGATCTGCCTACATTAACAGGACAGGACATAACCGAAATGTGCAATATTGCAACAGGGTATACTTTTTAGTGCAGTAAATCGGCGACAGGGTGTATTTTAGGCGCGAAAGCGGTTTGCGACAGGGTCAGGTTTTCAAAGGTTCCGGAGCCCCCCCCCTACCCAGTACTAGGCGAGTGCCCCCCCCCCCCGGTGTGTGGTGGGGGGAGTGCGTGCGTGCGTGTGTGTGTGTTTATTATTATTATTATTAAATCTTTATTGCATGTAATTAAATGTGTGTGTGTGTGTGTGCGTGCGTGCGTGCGTGCGTGCGTGCGTGCGTGCGTGCGGTGCGTGCGTGTGTTGTGATTTTGAAGAAAAATGACGTTTCCATAACTCTGTGTTACTCTGTTGAATATCTAGGCAGCTGCCCCCTTAGATTTTTGGAGCAAATTCTAAAAATTAATTGTTCTACCTAAAAGAGAATTGTCGTAGTCCAGAATGAAGGCTGTACATGTACTCAAAAGTGCCTCAAATACCATCTCCTGGCGATCTCACATTTCAAAATTTTCTGTGGGCGACCCCCAGACCTGAAAATCCTGGATCCGCCACTGCCCCCTAGGAATTTTTCTCAGCCTACGGCCGCTGTATAGTCAATACTGTAAGGCAGTCTGCGACGTCGTGCCTCGGGACTTGATGTTTTGTCGGTGCCGTGCGTGCCTGCAAGAATGTTGTGCGCAGCAGGTGATTGAGCCTCACGCCGTAAACACTCTTTAATCA